TTCTCAGACTTTTTCACTTGAAATATTCTTCATTTCATAAAATAGCTGATATATTCTCGATTTAGAAAGACGAGAAGTTTAACAATATGAGTAAAATCGTTCGTCTTATAATAATTTATTATTCATAAGTAAAACTTTTTATTCCCATAATCTCCATTATCTCCTTTCGTTTTCAGTTAATTTCAATTTCTTTGAATATGATTTTAAGAAAATTACAGAATCAGATACCGTGAAAAAATTATTTATCTGATAAGATATTAAGCGGAGTTACTGGCCTACGCCCGCATTCGAAGGATCGTGACCAGTACGGTACGCGACCGACGCCGTTGCCATGGTGACGGTACACCGCTTGACTTAGCAAGCACAAGTCAAGCCATCTACGGAGGTCGCTTGAGAAAGCAAGCGAAATGAGTTCGCAAGAAAAACGCTTGAGATTTCAGGCAAGAACTTTCCCTGCTTAAAACGCTTTTAATAACCTAACTTAACCAAAGTCCGTTTTTCAGGTCTAAAGATGAACTATTTTTCCCAATACCTAAACTTAACTTAAAATAAACTAACCAAAGTCATTTTTTCTACAATTAAGTAAAATAACCTAACCTAACCAAAGTCCCTTTTTCAGGTTTAAAAATGAACACTGTTAGATGTCTATTTTATCCCTATACCTAAACTTAAAGGGCAAATGTGAAGTAATTATCATGTTTTTTCTTTGGATGTTCAATAATGTATGTTTAGCCTATTCATGCAAAAAAAAAAATTTCGATGAGACCCTCTCGTATCCCCCAAAATCCCATAGCAACGCCCTTAGAAACGAAGATACAAAACTCGGCGGTCTTCGGCAATCCCCGGTTGTGACGTCATTCCCAGGACCAGGGAGAATCTTGTTGAATAGCATGATACACACAGTGCACCGCGAGTCAAGGATATCACGGAATTGTCCCAGTTTCAAGCTATTGAAGTTTGTTACAACGGATGCCGCGGCTGGTGATTTTTCGACGATTTTCGCCCCTCTAGCCGAAATTGCCTTTAATGCATTTTCAAGGAGTTTCTAGGTCCCCGTTTCTCTCCTGAAAATTTCAAGGCCCGACCCTTATATTTTAGGTGATAGCAGCGATTTTCGATGTCGACTGAAATATTTTTTTTTTATGTTACCTTAGAAAAAGGACAATTGTGACGCAATGATTAGAGATAATTAAAAAATGAGATTATTTTCTGAAAGCTAATCAAATTTCACATAAGATGAGACCAACCTTCTTTTTTTCGGAATATTTTTAAAAATCCCGCAAGCGTCCAAAAAACGATAACGAAGAAATTTTCCGTACACATAACTAAACATATGTTATTCATATGGTGTATTTTCTTTTTTTATGTTTTCATCATACATAGTTTGATCTATGAGCAAAACATTTCGAAAATGCAAACCTCCCCCCCCCCCCCATAGGGTGGTAGTTTTGCCAAATGTTCCGGATCGCCACAAGAATTTTATGGAATATTAATCTGGTAAAAATTTTATTCAAATCTGTTCATAACTTTTCGAGTTAGAAAAAAATTCCTGGATCCAAACCATGGTCCGCATCACCACCAAACTGCAATAAGCGTCTGAGTTAGGTTAAAACTTACCTTTGGCTAAAATCTCGTTAAAATGTGTTCATAACTTTTAGAAATATTAGAAAACAAACTAACAAACAAAAAAAACAAATAAACAACCAACAAACAAACAAAGGAACAAACGGAAGTAACAATATAAATAAACAAAAGGTCATGGGGTACACGAAAATGATCTATATGTGCTCATATACCTTATATACATACTTTCACATCGCCATGTAATTGTTTTTCGTCTTTCCACGGAGTCTGAGAGTGAAATTTGGCTACGTGACCCCGTAGAGTTATTCCGCAGATTTAAAATGACGATTTTCATGGTCCTGGACGGCCCGGTCGATTATTAGGTCGTTAACATTTTTACGCATAGCACACGTATTTTCGGTCCGATTTTAAAGTATTATGGCTCATTTTGTAGCTGAATAGTAGTTTTATTACATGCTGCCAAAAGGATTTGCAATATTTTCATGTGGTTCTTGTAAAAGTGACATGTGTTTTCAAAATCTCCTATTAGGGTGTTAAAATAGGTCAACTTCTCAAAAATGCATATAATAGTAGAAAGATAGTCCTATTCAAAAATGAAATCAGAATGGCTGTATGATTTTGGGGGGATTTTTGAGAAATTTTTAAAAATGGTCAATGTAGGCCTATAGACCCCCAGATCACTGCCACCACTCCGCACTATACGTAAGAGTTTGAGAAACCGTTACGTGCTGGTAATGTCCGCAAGACTTCGGAATGCAGGTAGATGACAGAGGATTTTGCTGTAGGAAGACTAATCTTATACCTTGTTTTGTTGATATCAAGATAGCCTTGGAAAGATGAATAAAACGTAAAATGCCGATATCTCAGAACTTCACCTTTAGGTGTGGGTAAAAGGATTTCGGGCACAACATATGTCCAAAATTAACATATTATGGCTCATTTTGTTGAAAAATAAAATATCTACAACTTGTGCGATAGCGTTTTCGCAATTTTTGCCTGTACTTCTTGTAAAAGTGGTCAATGTAAGAAAATTTTTACCTTTTTTTTCTTGAAGTCCCCTACTTCAAAAATTCACAAAAAAATGAAGTCGAAATCGAAAAAACGAAATCGAACAAGTTGTAGCTATAAGGTAGTTCTGTGCAAAAATCAAATAAAATTGAATGTCTTGCCGTTTCTGAAGTCGGAATCCCTTTACCCAGGTGCTGCATTTTCAACATGGCGACTTCGGGTCTCGACGCCACTCCATGTTTGGCTGGTTTGGCAAAACTTCCACAACATCAACCCTTGATATTCCTCTTATTCCAACTCTTCGAAGAAAATGAACGCTGTTAGATGTCTATTTTCCCTATACCTAAACTTAACTTAAATTAACCTAACCTTACCAAAGTCCATTTTTTCTGGTCTAAAAATGAACACTTTTAGAAGTCTATATTTTCCCTATATCTAAAGTTAAATATGATTACCTACCTAACCTAACCAAAGTCCATTTCTTTTATGTCTAAAAATGAACACTGATGACTTTTTCTTCCCTATACCAAAAATTCATAAAAATGAACAATGTTAGATGCATATTTTATCCATATACCTAAACTTAACTCAAAATAACCTAACCTTACCAAAGTCGATTTCTTC